CAGTCCCTTGTGACTTGTCAACTCTGGTCACCAGTATTTGAATTTTTTCTTCCTCCTTTTCATCCTATAGTTACAGGTGCTGGAAGCTGTTGTTATAAAGACAAAAGAGCACACAACCTAGCTAAGAGTTGTTTCTGTAGGTCCCCTGCTGGCTGGCTTTTTCTCATCATTAAATTATGCTTTTACTTTTGAAGGTAAATGTAAGAAAAATGTTTAGTAGGGAAAAAAAGCCCAATTCAACAGAAATTATTCCTTTCCATTGAAGTGCTAGCAATTAATACTGCAGCTGTTGATCTAAAGAAGGGACATGTGAACCCTGTAAAATTATAAGCTAAACAGAGCTTAGCCATCCCCAGCTGCAGGAAAACTGTGGTCTCCTGCCTGCTCTTGCATCAGTTGGGATGCCTGTACCAGATCAGCACTGTGAAGGGCTCTTTTCCACACCCATCCTCTCTTCAAACAGCTATGACATAGAAAGATGCAGCTGTCTGGTGTGATAAGCCTGAACGCTTAACAGGGCCAAAGATCAGCTTTTTCCTATAACATGGACTCTCTCATGACAGGTCCTGCTTTGACAGATGAACTCTTCCTGTGCAGGACTAATGTCAGCATTGATGTCTATTCCCAAAGGCTGCACAGCTTATATTTGTCCAATCTCATTTTGTCCTCCACTTAGATAAGGAGTACAATGGTTGAACTGATTCAACAAATGAAGCGAACTGCACATCAAACACCATAAAGAATTAGGAAGCGCATTTGCATGTCTTCCTAAATGAAGATACAAGATACAGAGTCCTTTGCTGACAGGGAAGACAGTTTGCAAAAGTGTTTTAAAAATTTAATACTGTGGTATTTAATATTTATATAAGGCTTAAAAATTAGTTTGGAAAGGATCAAGACTGTTTAAGTACAGTTGTCAGTACCTTTCTCTTATTTTATTGTCATCACTGCTGCAATCTCAAGAATACATGTTGTTCTGACTAAAAAATAAGTATTTGACTACCTTAAAATATTTTTGGAGTGGGATGTAGGTAGTTGTTTGCTTTTCAAAAACAGCACTTCTGAGATAGATCAAAATAAAAGTTCATTTCCAAGTTGTGATCAAGCTGAGCTTTAAGTTTAAACTATGGGAACACAACATGCTAACTTCCTGAGACAGGATGTTTGTTATAGGAAGTATCAGGTTCTGTGCCATGGGGAAATGTTAAGTCTCAGTTTTTAGCTGCAAAACCTTAGAGCTCTTCTGAAGAATGTGCTGTGCTGACACTGCTGCCCTTTCAACTCCAGAGTGCAGACTACAGGAGATAAATATTAATTTCCACAAATGACTTGTTAAAACAGTTCTACTGATCATACTTGATTGTGGGAAGCTGTGCATTTATTACAAACAGAGATTATACGAAAAGATTTTACTACAGCAACTAGCTAGTAGATGGAGCAGTGGCCTATAATTAGCAACATTGTATGGTATGCTGTGTTAATTTCTACAGGTCATTTATGAGACATTCTTAATGCTTTTATACCAGTGGACACAAATTAGAATGTTTTTAGTTGTTCTTTAGCTTTAACTTACATCTGTTTATAAGCTATACATTTAATTCCCTTCTGTGCTCAGATGTTTCCTCATGCCTCTGGGAGGTATTTATGGGAAGAAGTTTTTGAACACGAAAGATATCAACACTCCTGAGCGCAAAAGCTCGGGTTGGGACAATGTGTTTTCATCTAACCCTGTCTCAGAAAATACAAGCCAGGTGCTTTTCACTACAGATACGTCACCTTTGAAAACACCTCAAGTGTCTTTAGCGTACCTGACCGGTTATATTAAGAATGTATTCATTGAGTAAATAAATTCTAAATTAACAGTAATGCTGAATGCAATGTTTCTGTAACAGGGATAGAATATTTTGTAATAGCTAACTGTGTGTTTAACTCCACCCACAACTTCCCAAGCACTAGCTACTGACATAGCCTGCCTGTAAGTAAACAGGCTGTCGCACTGCACTAACGAAGGCTGAATGCAGCGCTGCAGGAATGCACAGACTTCAGCAGTTGTATTCACAAGCTCTCAGGGTGCAAAAGAAGGTGACACTGACTCACCCAGAGCCAAGTCAAGCAGAAGGTGAATCAATACCCAATGCCAAACCAGCAACCTCAACTGGCCTGTGCTGGCCCCAGGCAGGGACAGGTAGGGACGCCACCATGCTCTCCAGTGTGCTGCCTACACCCAGCTACACTTACTTGTACCTTACTTGCCAAAGGTCATTACATATGATGAATATTTTTCTAAAATTATTATATTCAGTTCAAACTTTAACAAAAGGTATTGAGTGCATCCACTACACAATGCTCTGACAGGATAAGCGTCGGCATTTTTCCTACAGATTTCCTCCTCTTTACGGATTGGAAGAGCATGCACTTCTTTAAAAAGCCTGAGTGGTCTTTTTATAGCACTTTTAAGTTATTATGTTCCTATTTTTTGTTTGCTAGCACTTAATAAATGAAATAGGAATAAACAAAGTTGTAAACATATAATAATTTGCTCTTACAACACCCATCAATATTTTAGTCTTATATAAACAAAATAAGATCCTGGACAGTATATAAAAAAAATAAGATCCCGGACAGTATATCCCTTCTCATTCACATAACCTTCTGTTTCACCAGCTATGTGAAGATACACAGACACTAGGAATCTTGGTCATGATGTCAACCTATATAACCAAATCCCCTAAATAATTAGCCAAGCCTTAAGAATTACCACTTTAGATAAAACACCACCCCTGGAGATCTAAGTCACCCTGATTTCAGCATGAAAAAGGACATGCATTAATTTCTTTTGATGTATTTAAAGGGCTGCCACACTTCCCTGAGGTGGAAAAAATAAATTATCAATTTCAGTTTTTCAAGACTAAGAAAAACAAAAGCAATGCAGTTGCAGGTTAATGCTTACAGATTGCTGCTTCTTTTATATTGTTATTGGCATCACTGATTCCTTTTTGTATTTCATCCAGCCACAGAAGCGCTGATTCATCCTGGGATTCCTGGAAAAAGGATGGAGAAAAGCCTTGAAAAAACTGAACAACAACACAAGTTGTCTGAACAAACTGATAGATCTCCAATGTACAATTACTGTTTTGTGAAGCCCTTGGACACTGAAAAGAATTTGACTGCTTAAAATCAGCAATAAAACCTGTTCATATTCTATTTATGAACTTGAATAAACTGCTCAAACACAAAGTTCTGGAAGCTTTCTTGTATAGAAGACACCATCCTGCTAAAAATCAATAAAAATTTTGAGTGAAATTAGAAACATTTACATTTCCATGATACGTAGGCAAAGTAATCTGAATGTCAAATAAAATCACATATTATCAAGCAGTACTGTGATAGTAGCATAAAGAGCACAAAGCAGAAGATTTCAGGAAGTTACCTTTCTTTCAGAATCCCTTATTTGGAAAGGATCAGCATGCATACGTCCGTACACATTACATTAGAAAATAACAGCGAAAACTGACATAGAAGGACAACTCAGGTTTAGTAATGATGACTTAGCTCGGGTGGCAAACGTTTCAGGAATTAATCAGTAGAGCAGGTTCACTCTTCCTACAGGCTAACAGTGTATTGCATGTAACACAAGCTAAAATGGAAGGTGCAGGAATGTGTGCTCAGCATGCCCATTAACCATCCCTGCTCTGGCTACCCAAGTTCACAGGTGAGCCAACACTTCAGCTGAGAAAACAGGGTTTTGGAGCAAAAGTGACATTTAAAATCTAATCCAGTAGGGGAGGGAACAAAATTCATTCTGAAGAGTAAATAGGAGTGCCATAACGATGAAAGAAACTGGAATGTACTGATCTGATAAAGATCTAAGAATATACACACACAAATATTTCAGGGAAAAAACCCCAACATAATCTCTTAAACTAAAGCAATGTGGACAATGAGCCAGCTTCACAATGAACATCCTTGGTTTTATGCCCAACTCCAGGCCAAAAATCCAATACATCTGTTATCCGCACAAATTACAAAGAGAAAATGGAGTGAAAAACCCTAAAGACAGGCTCTTCAGTTTGCATCATGTATGTAAACAAGATAGAATACCTAAATAAAATCAAGTAGTGTCAGGCAATTGCATGACAGTAGACACACACCACAAGTTTTACTAAAAATGAAGTTAGAGTTAACATTTGAGAGAGTGTATATCAAATTCCCAAACTACAGCTGACAATTTTGAGAAACGGATTGAGAAACTGAAAAGCATTCCTTATCTGGTGTCCAGCTTTTATACACTAAATACAAGAACAGACACAAATACTGCTCTGGAGCCAAGTACAGCTTATGCCGAGCCTCGCCACTAGCTTGGAAGCCAGATCAAGACTTTGGCTAATTTTGTCTGCTGAAGCAAGCCATTGTTATTTGGCATTCAATAATAATAAAAAAAAAGCGCTAAGCAGAGAAAAAGGAAGGGATCAACAAAACAGCAGATTAAAACAGGGGAAAGGTTTTAGAGGCTGCAAGCTGTGGAGGGGTGGGAACTGTCTGATCGAAGCCAGCAGACAGATCGAAGGAGCAGAGACAGCTAACAGTGGGTAGGGAAGTAGGAGGAAATGCAGAGCACAGTTTTCTGAAGGCATATTTGTATGTGAGGTTTGCTTTCACCTCTACATTTGCTAAACCAAGATCACCACACTCTTCTCCAAGCCTGGTTTCTTCCTTGAGAAGGGTACAGAGTTAAGCAACATGGCATTTCGGTCTGTGGAGGAGACCTTTGAGGACTTACTGAACATGCCTTTTGATATTTCCAGAAAACATCTTTTTACCCAAAATACCTGTATGTACAAATTCCAGTAGAAACCTCCACATAGGCTTCAGGCTCGTGGTAAATTAGGAGTTAAATTGCTGCTGTAAAGCAATTTTATCTCTGTGTTGGGCAGAGGCTGAAACTGAGTCATGTGTGCATATTTGGATACGTCACACCCTCTTGCTGTAGTAGACAAAGAACAAACTAGCTCCTTACCGTAAACCTCATGCCTACAGGATGCTTCTGGAGGACAGATCAATCATTCTTTAGTTCCTTACCGGGGGAGAAAAAATCCCCCACACAATGCCTCTTGAGATGAACTAGAGCAGCATTGTTGTTTGGCTAGCTGGAATTCACGTACTACAATGAAGATACTGTTTTTCACTGGATTGATCTCTCTTACCTTCAGTCTTTTCACAACAGGTGAGTCCTCCTTTCTGTATCTATTCCATATTTTAGTCAGTAACATGGGCTTTTTTACAATGTTGGTGCTTTGCCAGCTTAAATAGCTTGTACATATGTCATTACGGAAAACTACACTCTAGGATGTCTCACTTAAAGTAGATCTTTTTTCTTCCATTTTAGTGACACCTTACCTCCCTCTCCCTCCAGTCTAGAAGGGATTTTATTTAAAGGCTCTTTTTGCGCTTACTGAAGATGCATCCTCTCTCTATTATTTCTGTAGTGCTATGATAATCTTAAACCTGTAGAGTCTTGTTCTTCCTGCTTTAAAATGTTCAACAGGATTACGACTTCACAGATGGTGCTATTAGAAGGAAATGCTCAGATAACTATTGTGACAAAAATAAACAGAGGAAATGATCAAATAATAAGCCCATTTTTTTTCTCACTAGAATTAAAGCTGTTTTCAAACCTAGCTTATTTTTAAAAGCTATTTTATATATATCTATACAATATATATATGCTCATGCATGCACATATGTATTTTAAAGAGCGTCTACCCAGAAAATTACTAAAAGAGATGAAGTCTACTTATTATAATTTCAAAACATTCTACTATAAATATGCCATTGAGCATTGAAAAAACTGTTCTCCAAATTTTATTCCAATATAGAAGAGTAAAAGAAAAACCCACAGGTTTTCATCCAAATTTCATTTCACATCTGAACTCCAGTTTCAGAATGCATGTTCTAAGCTTTGCACTGTCTTTTTGCATTAAACACTTTAAAGAAAATTTTCAAATGACAAAATTAATTACATAGCTGTTTATTCTGCAAAATCTATTTTGCAACACATGGTTTTAGAAAGTATTTTGAATACATTTATGCTTCATCTGGAAGTCTCAATGTCTCTACAAAGCTCTCTGTTAAAGATTGAGGAACAGACATTAATAAAAGTGGCATCATTGGCTTTGTCCACATGCTGACAATATTTATGTACTGAAAAATTTTCTACTGCATCAAAAGTTTTATTCATTTGTCAAAAAATCTGATCTAATATCAACCCAAGTGTTTGGTTTTAGTTCTCAAGACTAACTGTCCTCCCTCACTTATAAGAAGCTGAAAAGATCTGATTTGCTTTAGTCAGAAGCTGAAGAATAACATTAATTTGATATGTGAGACCAAAAACTTAAGATTTCAATTTTCTAATTTGAAATTTTCAGCCTCTGTTAGGAAAGACAGTGCTTTTTGCATCTTCTGCAGTCATGCATTTCATCCATGAAGTGATAAGGATAGTAGCACTATTGCTCTGGAAATTCTGATGAAGCCTAGGCCAATACTGCTGCTTATATGATGAATTACCAGCACTGCTACTACTGGGAAGAACTCTCTACAGGTGATAAACATTACACGTCTGATATTTTTTTTGCCAAAGATTACTGAAAACATGCAAAGTGCAGAAAGGTCAGGCTAACATTAAATTCATGCTAAATTTTCAAGGTTGGGTGTAAGATGACAAAGATTGTCCTTGAGTACATTTTATATGAACACCCAAAACAAAGGAGAATGACATCAAATCTTTTAAACACATACTGCTTTTCACATGGAGATGTTTACATTTCTCCATACCTGAAGGTGAATTATATGCTAATCCAGTAGTCTGCCTTTTTTAACAATTTTAATTATTTTTTTTAAGCTTCAGAATTTTCATTGAATGGCTCTGCAATTAAAACCGTGTCTCTTATCAAGACTTTCCGTGGAATTTCAGCAAGAGACTACGATTATATTCCCCCTTATGCCATAGAAGGGGAGACAACTACCATCCATATCAGAGAACACAAATGTTCTTCAAAAAAGTCCAATGACTCCACTTTAACAGAAGTGAACAATACCACATTGAAGTACCTGACCAGTTCTCTGAGCACCAAGCTAATACCCACTGTCTACCTCAGTGCTGTTTTGCTGGGTATACCGTCTAATGCTGTTATTTTGTGGATGCTGCTCTTCAGGATCCGGTCTGTGTGCACTGCCATTCTCTACACAAACTTGGCTGTTTCAGATCTGCTCTTCTGTATCATGTTGCCCTTCAAAATAGCGTACCACATCAACGGGAACAACTGGGTATTTGGGGAAATGATGTGTCGAACTACCACTGCGGTGTTTTATGGCAACATGTACTGCTCCATTCTGCTGCTCACATGCATCAGCGTCAGCCGCTACGTGGCCATAGTTCACCCCTTCACCTACAAGAGTCTACCGAAACGTGCCTATGCCATCGCAGTCTGTGCTACTGTGTGGACCATCGTGTTCTTGTACATGCTCCCACTCTGCATAATGCGGCAAAGCTATTATGTGAAACAACTGGACATTTATACCTGTCATGATGTGCACAATGCCTGTGAAACAATATCTTCCTTCCAGTTCTACTACTATGTTTCTTTAGCTATCTTTGGGTTTTTAATACCTCTTGCAACTATTGTTTTCTGTTATATCTCAATTATACGAACACTCAAGACTCATGAATGGTTCTGGTACGTTAAAGTCAGTCTTTTGATCCTTACCATCTTTGCTATTTGCTTTGTGCCAAGCAATATTATCCTCATTATCCATCACATCAACTATTACTATTACAATACAGATGGGTTATATTCTTTTTATCTCATTGCTTTATGCCTTAGCAGCTTAAACAGTTGTCTTGATCCTTTCCTTTATTTTCTGATGTCGAAACTTAGAAGTCAATCCAATATCTATCTAACAATGGTTAAAATATCCAGGGAAAAATGAATTTAGTTTTATATTTATATTATTGGAACTATGATTTTGTATAGTATTAACCCAGGCAGTGACAAACCTCAGGTGCAAACAAACTTAAATTAAAAAGTGATAAAAACAATCTCAGTAAAATTTACTTCCTTCCATACACCACAGAAGGAATATCTTCAGAAATACACTTCCCCAGCTCTAATTTTATCACGTGCATTGCAACCTCTGGTGTACCTAGATTCAGGGATGTGGCTCCTCACCTCCATTTCCTTCTGAGAAGGTCACTTTTATGGCCATGGAGAAGAAACCAGAATATCAGTCACTACAGCCTCTGAACACCAGAAAAGTAATCAATATCCAAACAGCACTTTTATGCCCATTCATTATTTCCAAATGCTTCAAATTAGCTCTCAGCTCACAATCACTGCAGGAACAGTGATGTGAAAACAAGTTTTTGGCCCAGTGGACATAGGATCAAGTAAAAGCACTTTCTACATGCTCAGGATCTGTTGAGCTTTGCAGAAGCTCCTTGTCACATAGCCAAGAGCAAATACTGCCATGAATGTTAGAAATAAAGAGCCAGAGTCCCAGTAGGTTCAAGGAGCAGTAAATCTACAGCAATAGATGCAGAGCCTGACACTTCCAGGGCAGCTTCTCCTGTGAGGCTGCTTAACCAGCTTTGCACTGAAGACTTGTTCTTCCACTTCGTCAGCACCTGAACTCCTCTAGCACAGGAGGATTGCTGGAGGCTAACCCTTATCAGTGTGAATCCGGGCATGTATTATTCTTGCTTGGTAAGCAAAACAGGGAAGCTGTTTTGTAGTAGTGTCTATTTCCACATCCTCACAGGAAATACCTACAGTGTTACAAATACTGAAGCTGGTTATGATTGATTGTCCATGTTAATAAAACAAAGGGTCAGCTTTTACATTTACAGAAACTCAAAAGCAACATATATTCTGAGTATAAATTCCTACAAAATGAGCTCAGTAGTTGGTGTTTGTATTTGTAACTGCAGCACATAAGACAGTGATGAGAAAAAAAGTTTTACATAAGTTTGATAATAGTATTGTAAAAAACTTTGCTTAAATAAAATCATTTGCACTGGAAAATGTCTTTAAGGGATTTGCAGCCTGGTAAGTCTTCACCCCTTCAATTTCCTCTGGTTCCTAATTTAAGTTAGTTTTAATAATGCCATTCCCTCAACATGCACAAGAACAGATTTTAAAGAAAACTTTAAAATAATCCAGATGTTATAAAACTACTGTAAATATAAAAACCATGAACCTAACTGTAAAACCTGTGTGTCTATCAAAGTAAAATAACACAGGAACCATTTCAGAGTTTAGCACATCTGTTTAATTTTTTAGTTATCCATAATACACTCCTTAAACACAGGGTTTCTCTTCACTGGGACATAAACGCACTTTGTTTGAAATGGGCTTGAAAACTGTTAGAAGTTGTGGTTTAAGATTATAGGAATAAATAAATTCCAGGTTTGAATTTTCAGTTTCAAGCAAGAAACAAGAAGGTGTGATCTGAGATTAAGACCAGTAACAGGTACTGAGAGATTTGGGTGCAGACTGTACTTCCCCAAAGCCACCACAGCTACAGGGACATGACAGCAGGCTGGTTAGGACAAGCGAGTATGTTCGATCCATCTGTTTTTCCAGATGCTGGTGAACACAGGAAGTTCACAGGGAGACCTATCTGATCCTTGTAAATCAAACACTTCCTTTTACCACAGCTCACTCTCAAAACATGCTAAATACAATTAAATGCAGATCTGCTTTATAAACAGGGCTCAGAGAAAGTGGGGAATAGACAGACTTCATGCATCACACTTTCTTTTCAATTCTGTTTAGATTTTTTTTTTTTTTTAAGGATAGTTCAATCTAAATCATATCTTTACCTAAAGAATGGTGATGTCCATGTGACTGTCTAGCATAGGAAGTCAGATTAACGCATCTGAGCATTTTGTTGGGAGCACATATAGTACAGTGTCTTGCTCTCCTCCTAAACAGGAGCAATGCCTTCGTGTTTTAAGTAGTTGTCAAAGGACTGCAAAACCAAAATACCTCAGGAGAGAAACCTAAGTGAAAGTCTCTAGGGACATCACAAATTTTTGAATGAGAAGACTTCAAGAGTAATTGCACAATTTTTGTTCCAAAACTTGAAGATGCCCATTTGTTTCCTATCAGCACATTCACACAGTGACAGGGGTAGGCACCAGGTTTGCACCCGGGGAGCACAGCAGCAGCCGGCAGGAGTGAGCCAGGGCAGGGCTGCTGCATGCACACCTGTAGGACCCGGTGGGCTGTAGATCTCTGCCTCAGGGACATCCTGGCTCACTACACATGCACAAAGGGTCTGGCCTGTCCCCGGGCCAGCACAGTGCAGCCACCACCTGCACAGACCCCCTTTGCATGCAAATACCAACCCTGGCCTTTCCAGGACAGCTAATGAAGTCAGCCTGCACTAAACCCTCCCAGCACACTTGGTGGGGAAGGAGGATTTTCAGGATCCAGGGCGCAGTGAAACCAGCCCTTACTTGGGAAACCAAGCAAGAAATCTAGATGTGCAAATGTCTTTTGAAAGCTCTGACAGCAGACTGCAGAAACACACTGTTTCACAGCAGGTCTCACAGGTGAGGTGGCAAGATAGCTGGAAGATATTTCTACAAGCCTAAGTTCAGGGACTTTTTCTAGCTGACCATATTACTTTAGGAATTCATTATGTGAATTTGAAGTCTCTTTTCCAGACACCAGACATTAAGTGCTGTGCTAGTAGCTTTAGCTAATCTTGTGTTCAGTCACATCCTACAGGCTGCTAGGCTGATCTTTGTTTATGCTTCCCTGAGCTGTGATACTAACCAGGGCACTGCTTTTGGGGAAGCAGATAGCAATATCCTGCTGAGATAGGTTTAAACTGAAGGCACATACAAGATAGCCAGCTTGTTGTTACGTGATAAAGACAGAATAGAAATATGTACAAAACTCCCCAATTATAAAACACCAGATTTAAGCAACTGAGACTCCTCAAAGTACTTCTCAGAGGTTTGTTAAGGAACATCATGACTCCTTCAGCATGACTATGACTCCTTTCTGATAAATATCTCAATTCTCATCCATACTCAAAATATCTGCCTGACACAGTCTAGTAACTAGATCCTTGCATGAATTCATAATTACATCAGGGACGCTGCTGCCCACGTTCTGTAATAGCTGCCTCAACCTAGCAGAATTAAAAATAAGCAAGATTATGTCAAATCAGTAGTGACACATATGCAGCATATGTCTTAGTGTTAATCCATTGAGAATTATCTCTTTTGCCAGTCAGAATAATTTGCAGCAGAAAATTACTTAGTGCCAGTTTGTTGTCACTGGCTTATATACAACTCCACTGACACAGCTAATCCAAACATTGGGAGAACAGGACAGGGACATGCGTATAAGTAAAAATATTTGGCATTTCAGTTCTGACAAACATTAATAGTCAAAACTCTAACCTTGCATTTCTGTGCTTTGGCGTGGTGCAGAACATCCTGATAATGCCTTGCATTTACTGGTCTCACATCTTGCAGCTTGGCTGTGGGCAACAGTAGGGTCTCTAGAGTTTTCTCAGGATTTCCTTGGTCAATTGCTTCATTAATGTTGCCAATTGCAATGATTCCTATGGAATGGAAAAATTATTAAAGACGTAGTTATCAAAGAAAGATGCAACTTATCCGATAACAGGTACAAACAAAGCAGTAACATGAAGAAGAGAAAAATCAAGTAACAAGAAGCAGAGGCAGCAACAGCAGCTGATTTATTTTTGCTCAAATATTTGCATGAAACTATTAAGTTGTACGGTTTTCACTTCTGCCCCAGTATTGATCCATCTGAATATACCTCTTCATAAAAAAGTCAAATGTATCCTTGCTGAAAAAAGCAAAATAGTCTTCCCTACTTTCAGGGCAGGAGTGTCTACATGAAGATTAAGTAAAGATTGAGTGTCATATCTAAATACGTTCACATATTTGCTTACAGTGCTGAAAGACTTATTTTCAGTTGATTTCAGACCAGATTACTTGAAAACCTGATTTAAATGAATACATATGTACTGACCTCCCAGCTACAGCATTACATAGTAATTTAACCTAATTTCTTTAAATTTCACCTCAAATATCCAATCTGATAAAGTTGACCTTATGAGAAAATACTTGATTTTTCAGACCAGTGGTACTCAGGACTTCAGTCAGCAAGTAACATGGCCCAGTGTATTTAATAAAACTCCTAACTCCTTTTCTTCAGACTAGTCTCAACATCTTAAAATCAATTACCTCCTACTCCCAAACAGTGCTGAAATGCCCTGCTCAGGGTACTTTCTCAAGCCACTCCAGAAGGGCACCAGTCAATGGCTTCCCCCCAACTCCCTGCCAGCATCAGATTGTCTCTCACTAAGTCTCTCCCAGACTCACCACAGCCTAGTTACTGTGGTCAAAGATCCAAGTCTTCACAAGGCTTTGGTGATGAGCAATTTTTTGGGGTGCTACCAAAGACATGCGGGCTTGCTCATGGAAACAGAGACCACTCTTCTTCCTCCCCTTTCTATGCCAAATAACCAACTGAGGGTAGAGATTAGTGTCACCGAAACCAAGTGCAACTATTTTAGAGTACTAAAGACCAACTCTCCTAATGCAAAGCCTTCTTAAGGCCTGTTTCAACTCCTAATGATTGCAGAGACTCAGACAAAAAAAAAAAAAAAATGATGTCAGTTAAATGAACTGCTCAGCATCCCACCCTGCCAGAGGGTACACGTTGCAAGTAAGCTGTGAGGGTCTGTGGCAACCACTTGACTAGATTTAGGAAGCAACAATCCAGTCAGTTTTAGTATTTGTATAATATGAAGCTTCTCTTGCCAGTATGAAACAGTCGCACAAATGACACCAATGTCAGTGTGGGAAGGGCACATGCACAATATGTCAGTGCCATCCTGGAAACACCCTAGACCTATGAAAGCTCTCAAACTATACTCCAGACTGCAGTCTGAAAGCTGCCCTATCCTTCTCTTGCTCCAGCAAATTGGGCATAACTTTATATCCTCAAATTTTCATTAAAAATATTTAAAAAATCGTACATCTATATCCAGTGGAGAAACTTGTCCCTTTAGCATTTTTGAAGACCAAATGACCAGTCATCACACTTAATATAACACTGTCCATTTCAGGTCAACAGTTACATTCAGTCTCAAAAATAAACTCTAAATCCATTTATATTAAAAAAAAAGATGGGCATAGGAAGCAACTCTCAGGTAGGAAATCAAGTTACATAAAAGGAAAGCAGGACAGAATTGCACCGCATAATTTCTCACCAACTCCCTTGTGAAAAACAAGGGCTTGGAAATCATTAAAAAAAAGCTCTTTTGCACAAGATACTACCTGTAATTTCTTCCCCTATCCCCCACTACTCTCTTTGCTTACAATTTCTGCAAAACTCCCAAAGTGAGACCATCCTGTACGAATACTGTAAAATACTGATAAGTGGGCAGAACCATGGCATTTATAACACTGCAGAAGTCAGTCACCCTATGATATCTTCCAGCCTGCCAAAACATAACCAGGAATACTGCAGGGACATTTAAAGACCAATGGGCATTCAAAATTATTTAACGCTCTTCTTTCTTCAAAAGTGCACAAGGCCACTGAGCACTAAAATTCACATACCAAGGACCAGACTATCATCTCTGTGGGCAAGGTAGAGGAAGAATTACTATTACTTACTTTCATTTTCTTCTTGAATTTGCATATTAACCATATCAATGCAGTTCTGGATATCATTCCAGCTTAAATAATCTTGGCCTTGGGATGAAGCCTCTGACTTAATAGACAATAGTGTATCAGCATAACTATAAGAAGATATAAAATACATAAGTGTATTTCATATACAATATATAAACTGCCATAAAGAATTAGTCAGATGTATCATCCATCATGTAGTGCCTAGTATTTGTTCAGTTAATGAATTTCAGACAAGCTTATGTCTTCCCATAAATTATACAGACGCACAAGCTGCCTTTCTAGTTCTACATATGCATTTCAGGAT